GGCAAAGCTCGCTTTTCTGCAATAAAAATCCACTAATATGGCTGCAAATTCGGAAAACTATAGAACCTCGATCATTGATTCAAATAAATTAGTTGATTAAAGTAAATCAAAGAGAAAAATGATATATGATACATATTGGAATGTTCTTTAAGTTTCAGTTCATTATACATATTACTTAAGGGGAAGAGGGAAAATAGAAGTAGTAAGTCATATTCTCAAACGAAATGTGTAAAATAACTCTAATTTCAAACGAATCACAACACACTATGCCCGTGTAAGAAGGAATAACCCATCATTAGCCAATTGGTAGCATTATTTCTGTCATTTATACATAGAGCAGAATTGATACTAACTGTGGCAAAAATATTCGCATGATTATGATAGGAAAAGATACATTGAAATTCAATAGTGAAGGAATCATATGTACCGCATTAGCATGCACTTTTATTATGAGTGGCAAAGTGGAAGTTGGTAGCTAACGTAAGCATCCACTTTCGTATGTAGGGCAACTACCAGATCCTGGAGCACCAACTGACCAAGATATACCTCCACTTAAAAAAAGTTATCTTACAACCACTCAGCTATCCTTAATACTGTTCTATTTTGGCCAAGGTAAAAAAATAGTCACTGAAAAAAAGATGGAATGAGCTCTTATAAATCTATATGAGATAACTATCAGTTTCAACTGGTTTCTAGATGGGTTGCCAACGAGTTTGATCATGGTGAATTCTTATACTCCTTTACATGCTGTCTTCGTCCACAACTCGTTTGTCTTGCAACATATGTTATCCTTTTCTAGTCTTATCCAAGTTTCATAGGTACTTTAAATGTTAACGTCAAGCCTTTTTCTACGTCGGTTTTCAAGGCTATCTGGCAAATTTAATACTAAGGCATAGAAAATCCAGTTTTTGTTGCATATCCTTCTTAAAACGCTAAACTTATCTATACAGCTCCATAACTGCCATGTGCAAAGCAATTCTTAGTTGGGCAGTTAACTGTATTGTCTCCTTGTTTCTTCATGCATTCGTTTACTTTAGGACCTCGCCCAACTTCCAAGCTCTGCTAGGCTCGTCACTTCAAATCCTATCTTCACCTGTCCCAGTGACACCACTCAATCACACCCTTGGCAGCACTTCTTCCCCATTCGATCACCCTGCCCCAAATGGCTGGCCGTCGAGCCACAAGCTCCTAAGCCCGAGTCCGAAAAACACATTGGTGTGGACAAACGTACAACCGGTAATGAAGAGGCTGCAATGGCTGGCGAGGTGGAGCTACCACAACATGGCCATGAATTGGGCATGGCCGCAGACGATCCAAACAGGCCGAGAAGTTGGCGGGACCTGCCTCCAGTACCGAAGCGCCGCTTCCACAATACCAGATTGTTCGATTCCTGCTCCACTCCTTCAACTTCCAACTCGGCCAATTCTGCTACTGCCGCTAACTTGCGTCGTCTCCCACTAACTGAAACGTCCACAAAGTCTGGGGACAATGTAGCGCAGCCAGAACAGCCAACGCCTGTTACTGATGTTAGTCGTCTGCATCATTCACCGCCAAACCGATCTATCACTCCTCGAGTCAGTCGACCAACCTCTCCTGTTTTGAGGTTAGCTTCTCCAACGTTGCCCAACTTCCCGCTGCCCTCGCCGTCTCCGTCTCCACCTCCGCTGCATCCGCAGGCTTTTTCTGCCAATCCTCAATTCTCGCCCAGCATGTGTCCAGCCGCCTCTGCTCCACCTCTTACACCATTCACACATTTTAGGCCTCTTACACCAACTCACAAATTCACATCTTCATTGCCTTCTGCCGCCATGGAGCCCGAAGCGAAACCGCTACTTGCTGCAAAAAAGGCAACGCATGAAGAGGCAGAATCCCAATCCTCAGTTTGTGACATGCATCAACGCCCAGAAAGTCAACAGCTTCTCGTGCTTGACGAGATCATGCGAATGAAGAAGTCGACCTGCTGACATTTTCCTTCGAAAAATGCAAAGCAAAACGGCAAGCGGACCTTGACTGGCCAGCAATTCTCATGTCTGAAGTAACTGTAGCTAGCGCAGTTCTTAAATCCATCTATATTCCTGTATAGACAATTCCTCTAACCACTAGACCGTCTTGCTTGAAAACCAGTTGCGGGATCGAGCATCTTCACAATTCCTCATTTTCATGTTTATTATCCTTCCTTTAAAGGCGTGCTGTTTTGCCCATGCGTTTATGTGTGCGTCGACGTATATTTGCTTGTGTACCTATGTTTATGCATATTTGTGATTACACTCAATATAGTAATCGCCACGCCTACAAACAATTAGCTGGGATTTACGCGACATCACATTCATGTCAAAAGCCTATTTTCACTCATCATCAGCTCGGCTGAATAAACAAACCTTCCTGTGCATCCTCTAGACCTAACATCCGATTTGCAAGGTCCTCGTATGCATATACTTTCTTTCTGCCCTAAGCGTAAACCATTTCTTCCTACCGTGTGCTTATGTAAAAGAAATAGTTGCACACATGATGCTAGCATGACTGCTAACATGCTGATCGGGCAGATACCTAATTAATGAAACGGAGAAGTTGGGCTATGGTCAGACAGCAATTATGGTTATTTTATGAAAAGTGTGAAATTTAAAATTAAAATTTAGCTCTTTAATTATGGGCATAACTTCTCAACACAGTTTCTACTAGTTTCCAAGTCCTATTTGAAAATAGCATATCCTTTCATGTATATATGTATACTCAATTTCGTGTCTTTTTATGTCTTTGTGCAAAAGGGTGGATTTATGAATCTGTAGGCATTCATATATACATATATATATATATATATATACCTAAAACTCTATATGCAAGTCAAATATTGGTAAGAAAAGTCCTACCAACACTTCTTTTGCTGTACTATTAGTGCTCTGTGTGTCCCACCACAAGTATTCAACGTTGTGTAAATAGTTTAAAGCGAGGAAATTCGGCTAAAATTCTCTGCCCCCTCTGCCCTGTTCAACTATGCCAGTGTATGAGAATGTCCTGTAATTAAATATCGAGGAAGCAGAATTTGTAGCACTATTGGTCCAAGTGCCTCACGTTATTTAATTCAGCTGGCGATCTTGTCAAGCGAACAGGCATTGGACAGATCGCATGCCTTCTTTGTTCGCAAGCACACCCTCAGGATTGAGAGACGGCACCTGCAGTGAACTCTGGCTGCAGCATATCATGCCAAATTGGCTCGAATATTGACTTTAAAGCAGACAAACTCGGAAGATAACTTTCTTTCTGCTCCATTTGCCTCTCAAATGTTGTATTCCCACTAGTATCAGCTAGTATTTCACAAAAATAACCTTCTAATACCTTCATTTTTATGCATACTCGAATAAAAATCCATTCCCTATTCCAAATTCGAGTAGTGCTATTCTTGTATATCCTTTCAGCATTCTTTTAAAGCCTCGTTTTATTCTTCTTTATTTGCTTGACATCCTGGCTAACCCTTGTGTCATGGTTTTAAGATTTCGCCCAACGCCCTTGAGTAGTATTAATCATTTCTTATTTGCCCATGTGTTTATTGAGTGCCGTCCATCTTCTAATAGATGTCACTCATTAGCGCATTATGTTGGCATATACATCTAATTAATGACTGATCTGACTTGTTGAGCTACTATTTCCACAACAGCTACCATTGGCTGCTATTTCCTAGGAAATTTAAATTCTTTCTCCTGCTCAAATGAATCCACAGTATGCATTTTTATAATATCACCCAAATACGGTAAGTATAAAGATGTATCAATATTTCCTACTTCGATTCCCTTCACCTTGTATACAATTTTCATTTAAAATTCTGCCCTGCCTTGCCTTTTCACTTCTTACAAAAATCCTTTTTATTTTAGCAAAGTTAACCTTATCTTTTAAAGCATAATCTTATTCCACATGGTGATATATCTTTTAAATTGATAAAGAAAATTTCGAGATGCAGCTTTTATCGTCAATTCATTCACTGTATTTGTGCCTATTACTGTCTAGCCCTTTGAGCCACATTTCATTCCCTCGAATACCAACCTCTGCATAGACCTGGTTGACGTCCAAACCAAGTACCTTGCGTTTTCATTTAATTTACCTTTCCAATATGTGACCTGAAAAACCCTTTTATTGGTTCAAAATGGATTACATTAAAGCATAATTTTATACACTTCTCTCAATGTCATTTTTGGCTCTAGAAGTTATCGAAAATAGGAATAAAATTATGATTTAGAGACAAAATAGCCAGTTGATAGCGATTCGAAACGAGCAATTGAGGATTAAATTATCTATTGCAAGGCTCTATTTTTGATATGGGGCAAAATACACCGGGTACAGTTATACAGCCAGTATAAAATAAAATTGGTATCATCTTTGAAGTAAATCGTGTCTAGAATAGAATATTTATTGACAACTCGACTGGTTGGTAATAACCCTCAGGTCATACATTCGTCTACCAGACCCGATTTAAGGGGAGATTACCGTTGAATATCCTGAAATCCGGTAAATTGCATCTCCTTTACCCAAAATGTTCTAATTCAACGCATTTGCAAATCATTTTTATTACATATTATAAGACTTCGATGTCAATCAGCACTCCAGTATCACTTGATTACCAGTTTTTACTTTTAGAGTTTA